GCATTTTTTCGCCGTTGCTTTTGATGCGTTTTTTTTTGCGTAGTTTTAAAGATCTAAGCATACATAGGGACAGACAGCGGGAAGCGACTTTGCTTTATACTATGTATCACTACATAGTATAAAGCAAAGTCGCTTCCCGCTTTGTTAGTTAGTAGTAAGTAGTTGGTTGTGGAAATGTTTAAAAGCGACCGGACGTCATACTATTACGTAAAGTTACATTGGTCTTGCGCCGTCCACTCCACGCCCCACGCCGCGCCGCCAGTGTTTCCACTTTCATGATTTCCTTTCCCCACGCTTCAGTTCAGATTTCCCCTTCTTACGACATTTTTCCCCTCAAAAAATATTCTGCTGTAGTTTTTAGATTTGGCACTAGTGTAGTAACTAAAGAAAAAAAAGGTCTTAATCTATCTTATTCTATAACACATAAATATGAAATATATAAAATCTGCACGTGTTGCCACAGTTTATTTTATACGGCAACACTCTAGTCCACGGTATAGTCCATAAAAAAATTGTTCCGTGTCGCATTATTTTAGGCTAGGCTTTACCCATAATTTCCCGCAATTTCCCCTTTTCTTCCCCTCGGGACCCTAATTTCCCCTTAAAAGGGGAATTTCCCCTCATTGTGGAAACACTGCGCGCCGCGCTGCGTGTGCCGCGTGGACTCGACGGCAACGCCGACACGACACACTTTCACCCTTAACTCAAACCTGCGAATTGTTCTTGCGCCGTGTAATATGTCCGGTACCTCCGCTCATCACCGCACCGCCAATCTGATGTAGACGGGAATTCAGATAAAAATGGAATGTCGATTTCAAGAAGAACCTGTAGTGCTGTTTTGTGAGAATAAACTTATTTTTCACCGCGGAATTCACGTGTGATTTGAAATCAGAATACAATAATGTTTTCTTTAGATTTAAACATCTAGCAGTTAAATGCTTAAAAATAAATAAAAAACATAGGTAACTATAATTGCTATTTCTTCTTTCAAATGTTTTAATACTTGAAAAAGTATTCATTTTGACATTGTGGGTTACCTACAATGCGAAGAGATGGCGCTGTCTTGCAGCTTAAGGCTAGGAAAATTTCGACGCGGTGAATAGGGCCGTGGTAGCATAATGGTCAGTGCATTCGCCCGGATTGCGAAGGGTGCGGGTTTGAGTCCCGTCCGCTGCCTGGTCGCGCTCCGAGGGTTCCGTACAAACCTGAATTTTCAAAAATATTTTTTATAACTAATAATTTACGGTTTTTCGCAATTTTTTCTTTATCTGTACTAATTAAAATAAATTATAGACATGACGCATTGTGTAGACACTGTTTTATAGTAAATTTTATGGAGAATCCCAATGTATATAGTTTGTGTAGGGTATTTTTACGAAATAACAGAGAAATCTGCAAAACAATGCAATCGTTCCCACCCAGCGGGGGGTTGACGGATGACGTCATCAGTGGACGGTGAGAACAGCGCATAACCTTTAGCAAAGGAGAGGTAATGACGTTAGTTCGTACCAAATTTCAAGATTCTAAGTTCACGGGAAGTACCTTGTACGTTTTGATTCCCGTGCGAGTTTCGCAAATTTGCGGAAAGCGGCATTACGGCTGTATCATTTGATTGCTTTGGCTTAGAAGTTTGATTTTTTCACAACTCCAAGGGACAGTAGATATGAGTATTAGATATGAATTTCAGTTTGATACCTCCACGCGTTCCTGAGAAAAACGGTCTTGACAGACGGACGGACAACAAAGTGATCCTATAAGGGATCCGTTTTTTTCTTTTGAGGTACGGAAACCTAAAAATTATGAAAGGATTTAAGCTTCCTAATTTTTACCCCCCTTATTAATAAACAAGGAATAAGCTTCGACTAGTTACGCCGTGTTTTGTTTACATCACTCAAGTGTCATTTGTCACCAAATGAACGGAGATAAAACATAGAGTAACTTAGCCAAGCTTAGTCTTCGTTTATTAAAAAGGGGCTATAGTTTTGAAATGGTTTAGAAAGGACAATTTTCTCGGCCGCCCATTTATTTGTTATTAAATATAAATAATAGTTATATTTATATCCTTTCATGTTTCCTCCTCCTTTTCATGTATGGCTGCCCCCCCCCCCCCCCCCCTCTTCTATGAAAAAATATTTAATTGTTTTTTAATTATTTAAATTTTATACTCAATATTCGGCTTTATGCAAGCATTCTATATTAAATACCAACATTTTAATTTTGCAATTCATCTCGTTTACGATCTAGAGACACGGTACATACGGACAGACAGACAAACGACAGAGTGACAGCAATAGGGTTTCGTGTTTATTACCCTTTGTGTACGGAACTCTAAAAACGATACGTACTTTCATACTATAAGTATTTAAGTTTAAAATGATGAAACGGAAAGAGGTATTATGAATTACTATTAATACCAATTTAATAATGACCGCCTTCTTTTATAAATTATATAAAACTGCTTTCTTACAATTTGATAAATTATATCTAAGAATCACATGAGAAAATGATTAATCGCTCACATTTGATTTAGTAATAGTATTCGCGTAAATCAAACTCAAATCTAAAATTAATGAAGTATAATAAACTATCTAATGACATAAATCAAATGTGCGTTTACTATCACTGGCATTTTGTCCGAATCATCTTATCTGACTCATACAATAAACGAATGACTATCGCCAATATATACATACATTGGCGACAACATAATCCCACCAAAAACATTTTCATATAACGAGTTACCAAGATAGATATGACTCGCATGTCAAAAAGTTATCGCTTCTTTGCTCTACACGCACTAACTCTGTAGGAAGGCCAAAGGGGAAGATCTTCCTCCGAGCTGGATGATGGTAGCTCGAGGGCCGCGGCCCGACTGATCTTTTTTTTTTTGATTCCTCCCAGGCGGGGGAGCGGGTGTGAAATTCTCATTCATGGATACCTTACAGCCGGCTGCAAGGTTATGTCAAACTCCTACTGACTAAAACATACCCGTAGTTTATGCTTATGGCCTGAATAGCCTTACAAGCTTTATCTGAAGCGATTATCCCCTGCGAGGGGGATAATGCAGCGCTGCGTTAGTTTAAACTATTACATAGTTTAAAATAACGCATAATGCGCTAATAGACGGGTGCACTCAGACGTGCACTCGAAACGGAGGGGGCCCGACTGATGTTGGTCGGGCATGGTATATATGAAGAGTTAGCCTCCGAATTTCATTTGCGCGATGTAGGCTTCCGTACGTTTAAGATCGCAGTGCAGGTAATGCCATCTTTTGAGGATGGTGAGTAATGATTTCCTCCATCCGTTGTATATATGTGGGGCATATAGATGTCGCCGCCACAAACTCTACAAGGTACTTCACAAACTGGAATTCTAAAGTTCCAACGCATTAAGTTGCAGTGTAAAAGTAAAATCAAGAAGATGGTATCTTTCGCTATCGAAATAATTTTAATAAATGATTAATTGACTATTAATGCAATGTATAATTAAATTGCCTTGTTTCAAAACCATGCTTACCTTATTTCGTATAAACCAAAAACAATTGAGTTTTCAATTATTAAAATTTGAATTTCAAACTTTCAAATGCGAAGAGGCGATGCTGCCTTTAAGTCAGAAGTTCTAGAGGAAATTCGACACGGCCTAAATGCAGGTAGCATTCAGGTCAGGTCGGTAGCATAATTGGTGAGCGTATCCGCCTGGATTTTCGAATAATATTTTCTTTAGAAAATATAACTAGAAAAAAATCCACGCGGACCAGGCAGCAGACGGGACTCAAACCACCGCACCCTTCGCAATCCGGGCGAATGCACTGACCAATTATGCTACCGCGGCCCGTCGAAATTCCTCTAGCCATTCTTAAGCTGCAAGGCAGCGCCATCTCTTCGCATTATTGGAAACCCACAATGTCAAATGAATACTTTTACAAGTATTAAACATTTGAAAGAAGAAATAGCAATTCTAGTTATAATTTTTATTATTTTTAAAGCATGTAACTGCTTGATGTTTAAATCTAAAGAAAATATAACTATAAAAAATTCCACGTGGACCAGGCAGCAGACGGGACTCGAACCCGCACCCTTCGCAATCCGGGCGAATGCACTGACCTTTTCTTTAGATTAAACATCAAGCAGTTACATGCTTTAAAAATAATAAAAAATATAAATATTTTTTTTAATAAATTTAAAGAGCATCTAGCAGTTAAAAGTTAAGCATTTAGAAATATAACAGCCAAAATCATATTTACAAACAGCAGTTCAATGACACCAGCGCATACCCCATAGATCGATCGTAGCCGGCGATAATGCACAACGGGTCCGCTCGACCTCGAGCCCTTTGCCTCGAACTTTCACAAGGATCACTTTCAATAAACCTCCATCCATTCTCAACCTCCATCGCAAACTATATTTTCATATTCAGCGAAATTTGAATTAACATAATTTATCTGTTACAAATGCTGAGAGAATAATATTAACCTCCAGCTTAAGATCAATTTCAAGTCAATGGAGGTCGGAATGTTTGATAAATATTCAAATAGTTATTCAAATTTATTATTATATTATATAATTATTATTTCTTCAAATAGTACACATCATGAATGACAGTAGTAAATGGATGTATATCCCGAGAGCATTTTTTGCATGTCCAAGATGAGAATACCAGTGGAAAGTGCATATTTTGTCATAAGATTCTTTAATGTTAACAAAAAATACAATAAATATAACAAATTAAATATTTAATTGAGTTTGCCTCTATGGGACACGGTCTCCAGAAGACTGGCAAGGTTACCTAGCTGTAACACCAAACTCCGTTGAGCAAAAAAGCTCAAACAGAAACCAGATCTTGGATCCCCCGTGGTATCGCACAGGCGAGCAGTCATATCCTTAAGAAATAATTTTGCAATTACTACAGCAAAAGGCAGGAAAAAATATGTCTCACACACACACACGCTACAGCAGCTGCACAGGGTTCAACTGAGGTCGCATCAAGGTGACACGGAGCCAAAGTACCAACGCATGTTGCACCCAAACCCGACCATCCAACCTTACCATACTCCAAGGCATAAGTGACATACCATCTGGTATCTTTCCATGTTAAAAAGCTAACAGCCTATACTAATCAGAAACGATGTTGTGTTCTTCACACCAGATAGGTGTTCACGGGAGTATGCCCACGAGGGATGAAGTTTAAAAAGTATGTATGTTTTAACTTTATATAACTTTTTGCAGAGAATTCTCATAGCACTGATATTGGCTACGACCGCAGCGTGCCAACGAGCAACTGAAAGCGTCGAAGATGTTGAAAATGTTATCACAGATCCATCCCAAAATACCACAACACTCTACCCTGTCTCCAACACAACAGCTAATTTAACTGTCAATGATGACAACCCCCAACCCCAACAGACGGAAAAATCAAAAAACAGTGATGTTGCTCTATGGAAAATTGATACGGCATATGGCGAATCTGATGGTGACAAAAAAGAAGAGAACAGCAAAGAGTCTGGTGAAGCTAACACAACGGTTGCTGCTGGTAAAGAGTTTAAACCCAGCCCACACTTGGGGACCATCATAGAGGAGGACAATTTTTATGTAACGCCTACAAAAGCAACATTTGGTGATTTCAAGCCATTGAAGAAGCCGCCCACGGGATTCTTAAGGTATTATTTATCAAAGTAGTGTAGAAATCTTAAATTAATATTATTAATAATAGTGGAATGTAATGAAACAAAAGATTTCGCTGCTTTCACAAAAAATATGACACATCATGTAAGATATTTGTTCACTGCCCACCAGCGAATGAAGAGAATTGAAATAATAAAAGTCTTAACGTGTTTCTCTCGACACCGTAATATACTGTTGATAACATTGTGAATATTAATCGCCTATAACGAAATATTGTGAGAAATACAGAAGTAATTAATAATAAAATCTTAGCCGATTTGCATTTGTACAGTTGGTCAATCTTAGCATCATTATTTTATAAATTAAAGTAACTAAACTTTTTTTGTAATTCTATTAAGTAACAATATTTTGTAGTAGTTAGACTATTATCATTGGCGATGAGATTACCAGAAATACAATGACTCGCGAGAATACAATGTTGTTTTATTTTATTTTACAGTTTTTCTAAAGATCAATTCAAGAGTAATCTTCACCATCAAGACCTATACAGACAACATAATGGCTTCCCTTACAAGATCCAGAGCAGTGGGTTCAACAAAGTTAAAGGTGATCGCTGAAATTATTGAATTGTTTGCTGCTCTATTAGACCTCCTAATGTGCCCTACGCTCTCTCAGCCCTTAAATATTAGTGAACTTCTTCAATAAAACCTAAAATTTATTAACCAATCACACCCCAATTGGCACTGGTGGGTCATGGCTTAATCTCCCTGTTCCATCCATAGGGAAGGCCTGTGCCACAGGACTGGGGACACATTTCTGTTGCCCGTGCAAGATTTCCGCCCATGCGCTCAATACACTCAATGCCCTCCTGCCCCCCTAGCATGACTAACAAAACGCGATATGATAAAGCGATTTATCGACACTAACTGTCAAACTACAATGGAGTTTGACAGTTGAGTGTCGATAAATCGCTTTATCATATCGCGTTTTGTTAGTCATACTAGGGGGGCTGGAAGCTGAACGCGATGTATGCGGATGAATGGAAGAAAGCAAGAAACGGCTGTCAGCGTATTTGAGGTTTTGCAAGGACAATAAATAATAAATTTATTTATTGACACATAAATTGATTACATACTTGTTTATAATGTAGTCCCTGACCCCTATAAAAGGATAAAGACCTGTGTGACAGTGCCCAGTTCCGAATACATACATCATAACTATTTATGTAACAAAACAGTTTTACAATAACACATACATTATTGAAATAATTAAAGCAATTAGAATTCGATCAGAATAAATAAGTGCGCGTGAGTGTCCGTGTGTGTGTGTGATTGCGTGGTGTGTGCGTGTGTGTGTGTGTGTGTGTGATTGCGTGGTGTGTGCGTGTGTGTGTGTGTGTGAATGTGCGTACAAGTCAAAAAGTAGGGAACTTAGAAACAATGCATAAGTAGTATCTTGGGGATATTTTCCCTTCTAATTAATGTAACGTTACAATAAATAAATTGAAAGGCTGGGATGAATAAATTAATAAATGGCGTCAATTTCAGACAATTGGCGACCTTTCGACTTGGAATCAAAGCCTACAGTAGAGGCACCGATGAAGTTACCCGCTGGTGGGCTGTACCGCTCCCCGGACGCCTTCAAAGAGAAGCCTGCAACGTCAGACGACGACTTCGGCCTCGACTTCAACGACCTTAAAGAAAATAAGCATGTCAGGAAACGGTATGACTTTCAACATTATAGCAGAGCTGTTAAATGATTCAACATACTCACCTGATGTTAAGTGATGGAGAAGTCCAATTACGAAGATATATGATGTAACAGACATACGTTCCGCCCAACCTACCCTAAAGAAAGAAGAAATAGCAATTATAGTGGTTTTTTTTTCTAGTAAACTTTTCTTTAGATTTAAACATCTAGCAGTTAAATGCTTAAAAATAAAATAAAAACATAACCATAATTGCTATTTCTTCTTACCTACAATGCGAAGAGATGGCCAGCGCCATTGCAGCCTAAGGCTAGGAAAATTTCGACGCGGCCAATAGGGCCCTGGTAGCATAATGGTCAGTGCATTCGCCCGGATTGCGAAGGGTGGGGGTTCGAGTCCCGTCCGCTGCCTGGTCCGCGTGGATTTTTTTCTAGTAAACTTTTCTTTAGATTTAAATTATAAGTAGTTACATATTTTATCGAGAGACCAGAATTTGCCAATTTAAAAAAAAGTATGCTAATAAACATATAAGCATTTTCACTACGAGAAACTACTAAAAGCATCTCGAATGTATGAAAAATAATGATTAAAAAAAGTTGTAGTCACTCAACTGTGAAACACTGAGTTCCGTAATGTATTAACAGTAGAAGAAATAATTGAATTGAATAGCATCCATAAACCACTCCCAGAATTCCGACAGTACAAAAAAATGTAAGAATGAATGCAACAATAAACAAATATAAGGAGCGATCGATCGCCTAGTGATGCACAAATATCGATAAAGCTAAACAATAACATTCAAGATATACCCGGACTCGTGGTGAAACAATTGTTTTCTAGTGCCTACCAAAATCTACGTTTCTAAAATAACACAATATAAATAATTTGAAATTATGTATATTCCTCATTGCAAACGTCACAATAACAACTTCAAGGTAAGTGTGACAAATTTCGAGTTAGCAAATTTTCGACTTATCGAGGACTTCGACTTGGAATTTTTAAACGGTCAATTTCTACTTATATATTTTCATATATGTCCTATGACAGGAAAAGAAGTAATGATTTACACTATCAACGAAGCAAAAATACATTTGGTGCGCAGATGTATACAAAATGTAAAGAATAGTTGGATAGCTAAATTATTTCTTGGTTTTGATTATTTCAAATGACTATTCGTATTTACCATTTGAGATTTTGACATCATGTTGTCTTTCCATAGTTTAAAGGGAGCTAATAGGAGAGACTGTTGCCAGGTTAATAAATAGCAATTACGAATAACCATGTAAAATGCTGGCAGTAGAAGTAAAGCACAAATCAGATATCGTCCTATTGAGACACTTCAATATACGTCAATTTCCTCTGGACCCTTAACGCCCTGTTCCGTACACCATTGTCTACAAAGGGATAATATACCCTACTTTGAGAAAGACTTAACCCATATTCACATAGGTATACAACCATTGATTGTTATATTATGTTATGTTAAAAGGCATGACACGGTCAACCATCGATAGTATTTCGAAATGCGACATCGATACGAACGCATACTGTCCATTGCGCCACACCACTAATGGAAAGTTTTCTTTCATGTGGTGACGAGTCAGGTCCTTTCACTGCCGCGCGTCGTCGCCGGGCCGCCACCGCCGGACGATTAGAATTACTTACATCTTAAGAGATGTACAATAAACCCATTATACACATCTCCCTCCTTCCGGCAATTACCACGCTTGCCAATGATGGATTGAAGCGTCAGAAATCACTTAAATGCATTCATCCGAAGTAGTAAAATGTGAAACCATAGTTTCTATGCGCAGCTCTGTCAGTTACTTGATCGTAAGTTAGTGCCTCATCTCTTATCTATTAGACAAGTCCGTCCGTCCGTCTGTGGTGCTGTTTCAGCGGCCAAACCGTAAGAGATAGATAAAGAGAATGTTTAGGTTATAAGTTAAGAATAGTCTGATAAGACTACAAACCGGATTTGAGTAACGTAGCACTTCCGGTTTTCGAGAAATCACGAATTTCAAACGAAACCACACAAAATCTCCGAAGTTCTCAATTAATTAAATACATTTTTTTTTAATCAGGTTTTGGTGAACATTTGGTTCACTGGTTTGCTAGTTCTACTTAATAGTGAATATAGCTTATTAAATGAAAATGTAACTGAACATAATTGGCAAAGCACCAATGCAAACGTATTTGATTTCTTAAAGTAACACTTACGCGATGCGGTCGTGCCCGTTGTATGCAACAAAGGTTACGTAACGTCTACGTGACTTCTATCGTCTACTGAAGCAAACATAACAGATAGCTAAGAAAGGTGGAATTGCAGACCTAATGTATTGTGGAGCTCATCATCATCATCATCATCAGCCCATTAATGTCCCCACTGCTGAGGCACAGGCCTTCCTTATGGATGGAATAGGGAGATTGGGCCATTGGGCCATTAGTCTCAATCCGAATCAATTATAAAAAAATGTTCCTGAAATCATAGGCCAAGCGCTTGAATATAATAAGTTTTTTTTTGGCTTGATTTATTTAATTAAATATGTACTTGATAATATCTTATTTCATTGATTTGCTAATGTTTTGTTTTTATTATAATGTAATATAATTTCATAAATGTAATATATGTAATACATATATTTAAATCAATTGTAAGTAATTTTATCTAATTTATAGTATTCAATTTGTTTTTATTTGAATTAACTTAATTTAATGCAATATAACAGTTAATATCGATATACGACCTCCGTGGCCGAGTGGTTTGTACGCCGGGTTTCATGGCTGTCGCCGACTCGAGAGGTCCCGGGTTCGAATCCTGGTGGGGGCAGGCAGATGTTTGTGTGATGAATACGAGCATTTGTACTCCAGTCATGGATGTTTAATATGTATTTATATAAATATACTTATATATGTACAGTATATGTATTCAATCCGTTACCCCAGCATCCCATAACACAAGCCTTATAGTGCTTACTTTGGGGCTAGGCTAATTGGTGTGAGTGTTGGAAATATTTATTTATTTATTTATTGTCCTTTGTTTTATACAACGAAATTTGTGTATGCATGTTAAGTGTTGCAATCTTGATCGATTCCTCAATTATTATAAGTTAGTACCTTGTTGATTGTAACATGTTTTGTATACCGAATAAATAAAATTAAAAAAAAATGAGATTTGTGGAGCTCCATGACGCAGAAATTTTAGCGTTTGACCAGTTTTCCAAAATGGTCGGTTATAAAATGGGTGAACAAAATGTGTTGTCTCCAACTCTTCCATGGTCCGGAATGCAGGTTGAGCAGTTAATCGTGACTGCATTTGCAGTCATTAACACGCACTGATCCGCATGGGCCCTTCTTTGTATTCCATCCAGGGAAAAGGGTCTTTTACAAGCTGGAGCCACCGTCCTATCCAATATCTGAGTACCACCACCACCGAGCCACCGTTAGGCTGTCCAAATTTAGTGTTTAGTTTGCGTAGGATCCTCGAATTCTTCGGTCACATAGCAAGGAAGAAAAACGATACCCTGGAAGTGCTCCTGGTGACAGGAAAAGTACAGGGAAGGCGACCGAGAGGAAGAAGCCCCATGCGCTGGACAGACCAGATCCGCGACAATACCAAAACTGGAGTCCGCGATGCACTCCATACTGCCGAAGACCGTAACAAGTGGAAAGCGATCGTCCACAAAACAATTCGTGGAGGTCACGACCCTCATCTGGAGACAAGCTGGAGCATTAATAGTCGGCGCAGGTGAAGGACTTTTATCTGCCTCTGTCTGTCCTCCAAAAGAGACCACATTCAACTCCATCGAGTAACTCATACGGCGCATTAAAAGTAGCGCGTACTAAAAGTCCCTTGAACAACGATGATGCCGAGAGACCGGATAGGACAAAAGTACAGGAGAATCCCCGATAAAAATAAAACTCATATAATGACTATGACATATGGAGCAACGGCCGCAGTGAACTTGTGTCTGCGTTGCGCTCTCAGAAAATCGCTAGAAAATTTAACAGAGGGCTATATTAGATCTAAGACTCATTTCAAAGCATTTTGCCTATAATATACCATTTAAAAAAAATTGAAGGGATGACAAATCTCATGAAACTTGCCTATCCTATGATCCTGAATCCGATTATAAGGTGACGATGAATGTAGAATCTTTTGCCTTAAAAAACAACAGCAAAACTATACAATGTGAAAATAGAAATCACGAAAGCAGCTGACGAGCCTCGTTATATACATTGTATTTAATATTCTCTCAAGTAAGTGGAATAAATTAACAATTTCCAATAATGAAGAGAGTGAAACTTAGAAATACTGTTATACCTAACTTTGGAAGACGTAATCTTAATTCAGTTTATTCAAAAAATCTAAATTCAATATCGTTTATTCAGTCTAGGCTGTTACAAGCACTTGTGAATATCGAAAAGCTACGCCATCGGTTCGCAAATCTACGGTGGGAGACCTTGTACTGAGAAGAACCGGAACTCAGCAAGGGCTGCTTTTTTCTCCCTGTATTATTTCATACAGTGTCGTCCAATTGAAAGTTGACATCAAACTTGCAAACATGTGTTGAGGTCAACTTCCATCACATAATGTCAAATATGTAACAATAGACAATCAACGAATTTACTAAAAAATAAGTGCAAAAAAAAGTGCCAAAATAGCAAGAAACAATTTTCAGTTTCAGTTCGTTAAACCCGAATCATCGGTCACCGGTTCGCATCCGGGCTGAGACAGCACAAAACATAGCTCTTACATTACCAACGAATTGTGTCTTAATTTCTGAATACGCGTCCACATTTCGTCTATTAACTTTCACGTTAAATAACACCGAATCACAAACTTTAATGAACGTAGCATACCTGCAACATTGCACGTAATAAAAAAGTTATGACAAAGTCACAAACTTGACTGACGCAATGTTTATAATTCTGACTTTCTTAATTTGTGAAAAACTAACATGACTATCGTGAATATGGATGGAATTACTATAACTTCCGGTGTTGCAATTCA